TCAACTAAGTTGAATCTTTCTCTGAAAGGCAGACATCTGTTCAGTGCTTGTATCCAAGTCTCACATTTTCCTTTCTTTTCACAAAACCAAGGATTCTATCCAAAAAGTAATTTTCATGGAAGATGTTCAACCAGGCAGAGATAGACTTGGGATTCTATTGCCTGGACATAGAAGAAATGCTGTGGTTTGACCAAGCTGTTACAGACTTCTATAGTAAAACAAAAGAGGATTTGGCCTCTGTGATGGAAGAAGCCACCTTACAGGATTCTGGAGGTCTTAATGGCCTTAAATTTCATTAATTAAAGAAAGACAAAGAATGAATGTAGCATTGGGCAAGTTCACGCTACACCTAATGGATCAGGACTTAGAGAACTCAAATGCAGGATGACAGGTTTCTGCATTCCAAATTGCTTCAGTTGGGCATCAAACACCCAGAACAGGATCCAGCTCCCCTGCCATTGGACATGGAATTAAGTGTCTACCCTAAGTCTGAACACTCAGTGAAGAGGCAGATGTCTCCGTGGCTCTGTCAGGTAATCTTAAACTACATGTCTGAACTATATGGGAGGAATCACCATCAGAGAAGATGCCAAGTGAAAACCTTTGATATCTGCTTGTAGGTGATTATTGTCAGCTGGTGTAGAGTCACCCTTGATCTTTAGCTCCAGCAAGATTACTGTGGAAGCAACAAGTGCAGCAGAAAGATTTTGGGGTGGCAAGAGTTTATCTCTGGTGAGAAAAGGCAGTTATAGACTCTGAGACAACTTCAGGAAGCAGGTGTTCTTATCTTTTGTTATTAAGCAGTATGGGCTCCTTTTCATTCTAAGCTGCATTTCAGGTGAAGAACCACTATTTTGGAACTGGCAGGCCATAGGAGTCTGACACTATTTGGCTTTCCTTTTGACAGGCTTCAAAATTTATTCTGAAAAATAAAATTCCTTCAGAGGCATCTGTTTCTCTCATTTATAGTAGAATCTTAAATGACAAACACTCAGATGACAACCTCAGACATAGTTTTTTAGCTTCTGGATGTCTTCAATTAGGTGAGATGAGTCCCACCTCAGGTATTCAGTCTAATGCCAATATGGAGATCTCTATTACAATTAATGAAAGGGACAGGCTCTCTCAGAAGGTGATTTAGCCCATCCTATGGGTAGAATGCACAGATCTCTAGAAATGTCTCTCTTTTTCCTTTCTGTAGGAATCCTAGAAGTTCTTTAGAATAGATTACAAACTTCTAGACTGTTAAAGCTAAATCAAATGAATCACACTCTTTACTTCTTCTCACCTCTATACAGAAAATGAAGATAACAGTACTGTTCTATCCCTTCCAGGAATTAATTCATAACAACATAAATTCTGAGGTGCCACAGTGTGTGAGATGGTGAAAAAGGTGCAATAGTAGTATGGTTTTTAACCCTGTGTACATTCTGGGTAGGATAAAGGCTGCTGCAATTTAGGTGTGTATGCTGAAATGTGGAGGAGAGTTCATTCTGAGGGGGTGGATGGACAAGACCGTATCTTGGATGTGTTAGATGTGTTATGCAGAACGATTCTTCAACATTTGGCTGTCATCCAGATATGAAGACAGGGAGAGAAGGAGAAAACCATGTTGAAGATGATGTCTAGGTAGGAGCATGATTGACAAGTAGGATGATGGTAATGTCCACAGTGACTGAGAATGGAGGCGGAGGAGAGAGGAGACAGAGTTTGAGAGGAAAAGTTCAAGAGCTCTGTTTTATACATATTGGGCTTGATCTGACAGCTAGACATCCACTAGGAGAGGATGGAAAGACAGGCCAAGATTTTAGTTGTACAGGAGTCAGTCCTTCAATAAAGAAGTTAGATCTGCAAGCTGTCACTATAGAAATAGTAACTGAATTTGTGTTGGTGGGTAAGGCTGATAGGGACAAGTCTTGGATGAGGAAGGGTAACGAACCATGTGAAGAGACCTGTTTATGCCCCCATATGGATGGGGAAGGGAGACAGGAGGTGACAGAGTAACCACAGCTAAAAGTACAGGGTATATAATTGTTATAAATACATGCAAAAGTACATGAAAATTATGATCTCTCATAAAGGAGGACATGGAAGTCAAGTAATACACTATTGTAAAGCTGTTGAGTTAATAGGCAGTATGATTCAAAAAGACCCCAAAAAGTTCTCTTGACAGGCAGATACAGAAGGAACTTTCAGCCTGCTTGAATGTAAGGGATTTTGGGAAAGTTATTTCTAAAAGCAACTGATTGTGTGAAAATCAGAAAGCTGTAGATCAGTTTGGTAGGCCCTTAGGAGAAACAAGTGACTTCAATAGAGAAGTGGGCTTGTGATGGATGGTGGTCAGGCACCTGTCCAAGGAGAGGTTAATAAAAAAAAAAAAAACAAAACAAAACATCAACCCAAACTTTCATAAAAGAAAGTTGCCTTTTGAAACTATTAGGCAACATATGTTGTGTGAACAGGAAGTCACAGTAGAGCAATAATCCTGACAGCTGTGGAGAAACAGGAGTCTGCTGCAGGAACGAATGTCTTGAGACCTGACAAGAATGATGATGGATGCCCCGTTGGTAGTACACGAGGACAAGGCAAGAGACGTTTAAATTGGCTGAACCACAGGAACGAGTTTGAGCTGGCATTGCAGCCGGACAAAAAGGGCTACTCCTAATGGTGAGAGAAATGGGAGGGGGGACTGATGGAAGATGGCAGGAATGCACCCCTCCTTTCCAAGGACGAGGGCTACATCGCCATCTCACCACGAGGTGGCTGCATTTCTCTGTGAACATCCAAGCCCTGAAAGATGCTGCACACCCTGAAGCACCATGAAAACGAGAATGGGAACAGAGATCACTTGCAGGATTTGGCCCATCTCATTCAAAGGGTCTTAGAAATTTTGAGGGTCAGTGGGAAAAACAGTCTGTATTCCATGTCTTGAACCACAAGTGGTGGTCACTTGACAGGTTCTCACTAGTCTGTTGAGCCACAGTAACTTCTTATGTGACAGCTCATGGCAAGTACAAAACAACACCACATAACTTAGCTTACAGTGAAGAACATAAAATTAATTATTTTCTACTTGCTTTTTCTGTGAAATAAGAGTAGGTATGTGGACTGCAGCTGAAGTTCAGCCAAATCATGAACACTTGTCAAGGCATGGAAACTTGATTGTGAGCCTGGGATGTGAAGCTAGTAAGAATTAAATTGTGATGCTTTTTCAGATGCCCAGATCTGGTTATTTAAGAACACTTCCATAACAGGTATTTGAATCAAATAATTCAACAGAATAAATGGTCCATAAAAAACTGACCCATGAAATGCCCAAATTCTTCATTGTTTTGCACATCCTGAGATCAGTTGATGTCAGCAGGATGGAACAGAAACTTGTTCCCAGGGGATCGACAGATGAGTGTTTTCTTCTTATCTAAAGTGTGCTGAAAGTACGAAGGATAAGGGCTAGGGAAGGATAATGATATTTGGGTGTGCTAGATCTAGATAAAATCTTCAGCTCTCCTTGGGTTTTGTCTGTTTTCTCCTGTCTTCCTCTCGCCTCTGCCACATGAGTTTGCAAGATTTTTGGGGCAGGGACTGTCTTTTTATTACTTTTTTTTTTTTGAGATACCACACCCTATGAAACTGCAATTCCTGTTGTTGGTTTATAGACACTATCACTTTGTGTCAAAGTTTGAGAAATAGTCAGTAAAAGTACTTCTTTGACCTGTCTTAGGACCATAATATTTCACTATGGGATGTCAGCATCAAGCCCAACATCTGATTTTGTTAGAAAGAACCTTTTAGGAAGAGACTACTAAAAATATTGTAATACTTAAAAAAAATGAGGACTCTATCCTTAAGGAGATATTTTTTTATTTTTTTTTTTTAGTAGTATCACTGGTAAACATGAACCATTTTTAAACTGATTTGTCTAAGATGTAGTTCCAAATAATGAGATCTTGATGATTTGCTACTTTTAGGAATCTTTTCTCTTGTAAAGAAATTTCCATTTTTGTCCCTGCAAAGATCTAGAGAAAATCTGCCAGGCCCACTTTAAACTTATTTTGATAAATTCATGAATTTACATTAGAGTCTCTTACTGAAAGAGAAATTTTACACTCTTAAATATTTTTTATTGATCTTTCTTGTACACTTTCCAAGTTGTAGGCATGCTTCTTAGCCTTTCATGATTTACACTGTGAATAATTAGTAATAAAAATAATATACTATTATAATAAACCAAACCATGTTGGACCAGATTGTCCTTCCCTGCTGACAGTGGAATGCCTTACATTCCTCTGGGTCTGTGTGGTGGTGTACAATTATAATTTTGCATTGAAAATGCATCTTGATTTCTACTCTCCTGAACTATCAAGCTTGAAACCCCATATTACTAGATATTTGTCTAAGTGAAATGATCCCTCAAAAGTTTCCTGGAAGATCTGACTGTCTTTCAAATGTTGGAGGTAGGGGACCACATTTATGTCTACGTAGGAACTTTTGTACTAGTGAGAGGCGCCCATCACTCTGTGATTTGTCTCTAGTTTCTAGTGTCATCCCATGACCATGCTGCTCTGTACTGAAAGCTGTCAAAATGTTCTTTATCATTCACCTAGAGTCAGGGACTCTTCCAGGATAGAAAACAAAGAAGCCCTTAAACACAAGTTTCTACTTGATTCTTCCCTCTGAAAATTAAAAGGTTACACTCATGCTGAGTTTAACCCAATGTTTTTGGTATCTGTGAACCAAACGTGGTTATTTTTTCAGTGCATCAAAACTGCTGGTGACAGCACACAGTACCTGTTAGGGTTCTGCACCTGTGTGAAATGACAGTGTCCTCCTGGCCTTTCCACTGATGGAGCACAGCCAAGGCCCTGCACGCCTGAGCTGTTATCCATCCTTACTAGAAAATTAGTTGCGAAACATAGATAAATCATCCCTCCTCCTTAATTAGGCCACAGGGCATCAAGGCTGGATCAATCTGCACTTGCCCGTGTAACAGAACAACTTACCGGCATTGTCTGGCTGCCATGCAAGGCATTGATGGCTGCTTGGGCCTCTGCATGTGAAGAGTATTTCACAAATGCACACCCTGGAAGAAAAAAAATAAAAGAAGAATGTAAGAAAGGTTGCATGGATACCATGAAAGTCCATCTAGCTGAGTGTCCTGTCCTCAACACTGGACGATGAAGATGGTTGTAAAGAAAGTATAACAAGCACATGTGCTCCTGGTTATTCCTTTCCAAAGTTCAGTCAGCAGCAGCCTGGGGACCTTTTAAGGTAAAACTGCATTCAGAATTCTCATGATGCTTGTAATGGGCACTGATGGAATAAAACTCACAAAGTACATTTTGAATCCACTTATGTTTTGGCCTCCACAGCTTCCCATGGCAGAGTGTTGTGTAATTTTACAATTTATTGAGTGAAAAAAAAAAAAATTCCTTTTATTTGTATTGAACTTAATGCTGAATGCTCCTCCCTCTGGTGTCAAGAGAAACAGTAAGGAAGTGTATAAAAATTATCAGAAAGTTACACATAATTGTTAGAAACAAACACAGGCAAAATGTACAGAAGCCACTCAGGTTAGTCCGTACACAAAAGATACCTTATCATATCACTGTCTGGTAGAGCTCAATGACAGACTGCTTAGAGCTTGTCTTGGCTCCAAGCAGCTTTGGTCTCACAAAGCATGAAACAGATTCTGATGGAGAAGCAGGGATGGGAGAGATCCGCCTGTGCTGATTACCATCTTGTCACCACCAAAATTTGAATCTTAATCTTCCTTTGCTGCACAGCCAGTGCCTGTATAGGTGTTCTCCTCTGGACATTAGAGAAATGCATGCAGTGATTCTCTGGCCTTCATCTCCATGTGAGGAATATTACACTGAACACTTATATAAGCTTTTAGGGCAGAAAAGTGCATTTATAAATATGTGCTAGAGTACAGAAATGATCAACACTTCAAAGGGTCACATGCACCACTAGAGTGGAGGAAAAGTATTACTAACACTCTTAGCTTCAAGCAAACTGATTCAGAGAAAGGAAGAGTAATTTCCATATGCTAAGGCAGTTTTTGGAACAGATTGGGAGAGATCTGAGAGGGCTTCCATCCCTTCTATTACTACCAAAGACTTTTGAGCTTTTAATCAATTTGCAATGCTCTGGCTGTCTCCCTGAAGGGGTGCAGGTCGCTGCACAGGGGATGCCAGCCCTGACAATGGGACGTCTCTCCTTTATTCCCTGTGCAGCATCTTTAGAAGATCCACACACCCTTATGGATCCATACAGTGCAGGGTGAAAAGTGAAACATTAGAACACTCCACTTGCAGACTAGAAGAGTGAGCCTTCAAAGGTCCCCAAAATCTTCACTGCAGGCTGATAGAAGTGAGATTGAAGAAAGTAGTGACAGCCCCCTCTAAAAATAATACACACACATGAAATTAGCTTACAGTTAGGAGCCCTTCACTTTGCATTACCCTCTCAGCACTATGCTCAGAGTCTATTTCAGGAAAAGCACAATGATTGTTGCTAATAGTTGGATCTAATTTAGAAGGAGCTGAGAGGAGACAATCATGAGAAAATTAGATAGATAAACTTCAGTTGGAAACAATAGGGATCAATTATGACATAATCGCAGCCCAGCATTCCCGGGCTCCTGAGATACTGCATATTCCTCTTCATTAATCAGAGATAATCCAGAATTAGGGTGTTTAATTATTTGCAGAGATTCTTTTGTACTTTCTGTGTCTAAAAAGAAGATGCTCATTAGCAAATATACAAAAGCTTTCCAGCTCCAGTCACCCGTTACATTTAAAGCAGGATTTTTGACTGCAGAGCTGCTGTCATGTTGAAGACTTCACTCTCTTCAGGTGAAATTCACCCCTGTGTTGAGGAACCTGATGGGTCAGTGGAGCTGGATAAAGGTGGGAACGAAGGGAACAGCAGACATTTATCTTGTTTAATGCCCAAGATGCTAATGGGATCCCTCCTACTTCTTCCTCTCACTGCTTCCAGTAGGTTTTGAGGTAGGGGGACAAGTGAAAACTCAGCTTTTACTGGTGTATGCTGGCAAGGCAATAGCAGAGATCCCAACATTTTAGCCCTGTTGGTTTTGTATTCAATGGGTTGACTTCTATACACAGCATCAAATGTGCACATAATCTCCTTCCTTTCCATTGTCACTAGAACTGACTCCAGGACCCATGAGCTGAGGATGTGAGTCATGTCACTCTCCTCAGAACAATGGTGTCCTTCAACAGGAGCAGATCTGGAGTTTGAAAGGATTTTGACACACAGAGAGATATATAACCTGTGCTGAACAGGGAGATACATGTTTTTAAGTACTTTTCTTACTTCCAGATTATAGAACTGGAAGGCCTGCTTTTACTGTCATGTCAGCTTGGAGGAGACTGCCGAGTCAGGGCCTAAGTTTATAATTGTGGAGGGTGTTAAGACTCCTCTTGTGTAACTTCTGGTGTTGTGGGAAATCTTTCTGAGTTACTGAAGTAGACAACTGCTGAATGAAGGGGAAAAAAAAAAAAAAAAAAAAAAAAAAGAAAAAACTGCAGACCCTGTGGGTCCTCCTGGCTTGCTGAACTGGATCCACTTCAGCTTCCTCACCTGAGGACTCCTGCTTGAGAACTCCTGCACTCCTGGTTGCACACAGGTGAGCTTTACCTGGAGGGGTGCAGGAGGGCTCTTCCTGCCTGTTCCAGGAGGGACAGGCTCTGCATTCCCCTCCAGGCAGAGAAATGCCTCAGTCCCAGCTATTCTGGCACCTGGTTACAAGCTCCAGCCACTGTCTGTACCCCCGGGTGACTCCTGCAGTAGGTATTTCTGCAGCCCCCTGAGGGGCATCTCAGGACATCATCCATGGCTTCAGGCAAGGTTCAGGCAGCTTTCTGCATGTGACTGGACTGTGATGGCATGAAAGTGAGAATCTGGGACCTACCTCCTGAGAGCATTGTTTACATCGAGGTACTGGAGGATATAGAGGCTCACCACAGGGATGCCTGGTGGGGCTTCACACAGTGGGTTGGGTAGGACTGAAGTCCATGGGATCTCATTGCTCTCTGGCACTTAGACAATCTGCTTAAATCTTAATTTAGGTAAAATGTAAGCCTTATGGGTTTTACCTAAAATAAGTACCTCACAAGCAATGTGTGTCACATATTGGCTTCTAGCAGATGGAAAACATTACAGACTGGGAATAATTTTGTGGGAGTTGTGGCTCTCCTGACTGTCTCCTAAGATAAGGGCACTAGCCTTAAGTTTTCTGTTGGATTGACTGCTCCATGTGCATGTGTGCGTGTATGTAATGGTATGTGTGTAAATTAGGAGCTTCACTTTCTCAGTAAATAGCACCAGCAAATGGAAGCTGGTAATATTAACTCTGTCAAGGCTCAGTATTGATCCTGAACAGCTCAGTGAAATGCAAGCCTGAGACTGCAGCCTGCTAGCACTAATAATTAAATTGGTTAGCAATATGAAGCTGCCACTCAGATTCAGACATATAATGAAATTGTTTAAGAAAAGTAAAAAGATAAAACAAGTATGGATACAAGTCTATGGGTTGGATGTCCTTTAGATTCTGTTTCTTACCAATCTCTGGTATTACTGCTTTTATTATTACTCCATTTAACCCCTTTGTCATTAGATTTTGTTCTGCACAATTCCAGGTGGAGCAAGATGGACATATTTTTCTGCTTTTCCCCAATTTACTGATTTCTTCAGTGAATGGACTGCTTAACTGCCTACCATTATGATGATTGGAGCTCTTTTAGGTCAACATAGCCTGCCACTTTCCAGTGGGGCAGCCCCTATCTTTGGGTATCATGAAACTATACTAGCCATACAATTGAAGAAAGGTGCCCACAGTTTATATTCAGCCATTTATATCAGGAAGGGTGAAGTTGCTGACATATCAATCAGCTGCCTTGTAATGCTGGGTTTAAGTCTTTTTTGGTTGCAAATTATTTTATGGAATACCAATATCTTTCTCCAGTGTATCACTGAGATTTGGTTTCTTTGCTTCTCTGTTGCAAAAATTTGCCAGTTGATGTTGTCACATGTCAAAATACACAATGAGATATGAACTGCATCAGCAGGACTGGTCTCTTCTTTGGTGCTGCACATTCCAGCACAGTTTATGATATATTATATGCAGATCAATATTTAATGGACACATTATACTGTCAGGAGAAGAGGGCTTCCTACTCAAATTGAAGTTTGCCTAGAGACTGATGGGGAAAAAAATTACCCTCCTGTTCAAGAGAGAAACATCATTCTTACACCTGGACTGTAGCAGAGGATCCTTTGTGCTATCCAGGTAACAAGTGATGCCAAAAAGTGTCAGAAGGAGGTAAGGCATCTAGTTTTGCAATGAAGCATTTGTGTGTTTCAAATGGTAAATGTCTACTGAGTGTAATATTTAAATCAGTACCTGTACCCTTGCAATTGTGATCAATGGCTGGTGTGTAATGGCTGGTGTGTCCCTATGCAAAGACCAAGCAAAGAAAGGAAAGACCTGTGGCTGGGGGCGAGAGAAAGAAGCAGACATAGTGGAGTTGGTAAGTCAAGATGTAAAGTAGCACCCTTGATTTTGTTTAAAGAAGGAATTGACCTGCTCAGTTGGGTGGGGAGAGCACATCTGGAGTGAATGTAAAGGCCCTGTGTTAGGAGAGGAGGCTCTGTCCTGAGACAAAACCCTACTGAGCATCAGTTTGCACATGGTGAGACACAGCTCGTCAGGGGCATGTGTTTTTAAGTGCAATCAACTTTTTATTTTCATGCACAAGCAGGCAGCAACCAGCAAAGTAACTGCCTTCCTTGGCAAATGTGACTTTCCAGTAGTGTAAGAGAGGCTGTCCTGCCAGCTACATAGTGACGCTGCCACACCAGAAAATTATATATACACCGAGACCAGGTCTAGCTTGACACAAGCCATCACCTTACCTTTGCTGTTGCCATCGGGTCCCCGAAGGATTGTGCACTCTTCGATGTTGCCAAATGCCTCGAATAGCCTGCGCACATCATCTTCTGACTGCTGCTTATTGAGCATGCCCACAAAGAGTTTTCTGTCTTCTGGAACAAAATAAAGAGATGCTTACCATATTTCAGGAGGGATGCGAAAGCCAAGATGGCTCAGTATCACATGCAAAACAAATGGTGATTTCACTAAGGTGACATATTTCAGAAGCTGCTAGTTTTTCAGGTGGCTGGCTCAAAAAAAGCTTAACAGTATCTGACTTTCACTGACTATTTGAAAGTTATTTGGTAATTTTAAAACAAAACAAAACAAAAAAACGATACACAACAACCCAAAAAGGTTTGGTTACATATGAAATCTTTAACTGCTTCTCACAATCTAGGCACCAAAGTCCTCCAAATCAGCTTTTCTGATCAATTTTTGCAGTAAGTTGCAGTAACTGAAACCACAACATTGCTCAGACTCTGATACAAGAGGAATGTGGATAAAGATAACATATAGAAATGAAGTCCAAATGAAAAATAGGGTAAGTTAGTAACCCTCACAATACTAAATACACTGCAGGTAAAAAATGTTTAACATAAGCTGTTTTAAATCGGGATATAATGGAAGACACAGCCTGTAAATGCAGATTTGTCATTTGTACCCACTCGGATGAGCTTTTTAATACATTTTTAAAGTTCATTTGAAATAAGCCCAAAGTTTTTAAAACATATATAGTTTTTTGAAACATAAAGCTAACTTATACGACTACTAATATCTGAGATAGATAGCTCAAGCAGGTGGTATTTCATGTTAAAGCAGGACGTGGTCTGCTAATAGATAGTATTTTGAATGAGGAAAGCTATTTATACTTGGACTTATGGTAAATATGGTGATCTTCAGTCCAGAGCAAAACACCTTCAGAAAATGTTGATGAAAACAGAACAAGCTTGTGATTGCTGAGTTGGTAGAAAGATCTCAGAGGGCACTGAGGGATGCCTCTAGATCAAGTTTATTATGCTCAGAGATCAGTACCGTTACACCGAGAATAAAAGGAATTTATGCAGTTTACATCGTGTATGTAAACAGGCCATTTACACATGATTCATAAATGTCTTATTTATCATTCATTAAACACTATGTTAATGTGTGAACCAAGATTTTTTTTTCAGAGCAGTTTACAGAGCAGATGTAACCAATTTGAATAAATATATGTAAATAAATAAATAAATAAATTGATTTTTAAAAAATTATTTCTTTTTAATGCACACGTTAATATAAAGCTGAACAAAACATTGGCTTGCAACAACCTTTTCCTGGCTGACTAATTGGGCGATATATGTCACTTTTGTTCACTGAGAAATCATTGGTGTAGGCAATCTGTTCTGCTTCGACCAGTGTTTGATCAAAATTCCCCTCTCCAGGATGCACCTGCAAATTGGCAAATTACTTTATAGCCTTGGATGAGGATAATTTTTCATGTAGTGGATATCAAGTGAGGATATTAGGAGCTTTCAATCCTGCAGTCGAGTTATCCATGTGAATGAAAAGTGTACTGCTCACAGAAAACAAGGAGTTATGTTGCCTTCAGCTAGACTGCTGAAATGGTAGGAAAAATAGGTTGAGGAGGGTACATGTGTATTTCTGATAGGGGAGAAGAACAGGAATAGCGTTCTGATAGATATGTTAAAGCAAGAAACATGCCTACTTTATGTTGGAATTGATTAAGCAAAGGGGATTTTTGAGGTTGCTGTGATTTAAATTCAGCTGGCAGCCAAACACCATGCAGCCACTTGCTCACTCTCCCCCGCTCCAGGAGAATAGGGGAGAAAGTTGGAGGAGTAAGAGTAAGGAGACTTGTAAGTTGATTTAAAAACAATTTAACAATTGAAAGAAAATAAAACCAAATTAATAATTATAACAGGAATAATAGAAAATACAATTAGGTAATGCACAATGTGATTGCTCACCACCTTTTGGCCAACGCCCAGACTGCTCCTGGCTAGCCATCCCAAAGAATAGGTAACCCTGAAACACCATCTCGAACGCATGAGTGGAGCTGACTGGTCTACCCTTATCTATAGGCTGAGAATGACATTAGATAATATGGAATATTCCATTGGCCAGTTTGGGTCTGTTGTTCGGCTGTGCTCCCCCCCAACTTCTTCTGTACCTACGCACTAGCAGGCCATGAGAAGTTGAAAAGTCCTTGATTTCTTAGCAACAACTAAAACCATCAGTACATTATCAATGTTCTTCTCATATCAGATGCCATACTGAATCCAAAATACAGCACTGTTCTAGCTACTAAGAAGGAAGGAAAAAAAACCCCAACTGATTAGCTCCATCCCAGCCAAAACCAGGACAGAATTCTTTGCTGGCAGAACAAAGTTCAGGGTTTACTGATGCACAAAGCCCTAACTAATACTGTGTAGGGTGTCCCCACTTTAAAAGAAGATGCTTTGGACATCTCAAATATTTGTTTTCTTGATGGCCAAATTGACCCGCAAAAGAGACTCTCAGAGCTGAAGTATAAGCCTTAGAGAGGCAGCTACTCAAGTTGACTGTGTGCTCTGTCACGCATCTTTCAGTCTAGGGCTAGACAAAGCCTTGGAGAAAGAGTCCAGTACAAATTCCAATGGTTGTCCAGATATTGGACGAAAACCCAACTAGTGAATGACACCAGCTGTGCTGGAGGATGGGAGATATTTTAAGAAGGGGGCAGAGCAGTGGGAATGAACTGGGAACACCACTGGCAAAAGAATTTGTCCAGAAAGTTTCTCTGGTGAATACTAGAGGAAGCACAGAGGAAGCGTCTGTTAAATTGTAGTTTACACAGTTTCCCCTGTTTCAAATAAGCTGCATCAGCAAAAGCATTCCTATAGCTGTGTAGCAGTATTTTCACCAGGCTTTTTGCTAATATAGATGTATCATTAAAAAAATCACATCCCTCCTCTGTCAGCAAAACTCTCTAGTGTGGAACTGGTCTGAAACTGCCTTGTCTGGCTTAGTTTATGCAAAGCTAAAACTAGGTGTTTTAGGAACTACTATTTTATATTTTATTTTATATTATTTTATTTTATTTTATTTTATTTTATTTTATTTTATTTTATTTTATTTTATTTTATTTTATTTTATTTTATTTTATTTTATTTTATTTTATTTTATTTTATTTTATTATTTTAGATGCCTTTTCTGCATCTCTGCAGGACACTAGGAGTGATGATGCCTGTCCCCAGAGCTGGCTGGCAGAGTATGTAGTGCTCTGGTGAGCTGCCCACAAGGTGGCCACCAGACCACCAGAAACAGGCTCCTCCAAGGGTGAAGACCACCTTCCCCAGGGGCTGCTAGTCCAGCCACAGGGAAGATAGTGTGAAAGGCCCCCCCCTTGCCAGCTGGGGCTCACTGCTGCCTGGACATCATCTCCAGCCCTGTCTCCAAATCAACGCTTTGTCTTCCCCCTGAAAATTGTGCCTTGGGCTGTCAGGGGAATCACTTGTCAAATCTACTGTCTCAGAAATCCACACAATCACACACTTAGCTGATAAAAAATGAGTCCATTTAACAAGCTTTTTGCTCTGAGAGGATCTTCTTAACAAAGTGCTGCATTTACCTTTCACGTCCCAGCCCTGCCAGGGAACTCAGCAGTGTCTTTTACCAATGCCCCTTGCACATCTTGGGTGGGAAGAGAGGGACAGGTCCAGCAGCTGGGACCATTCAGCATGTTCCAGGTCTTGGCTAATGACTTTATCCTCTAATGAGCTTGTATGAGCCTCTTACAGCCTGAGTACCCCCATATGCTGCTCTTCCTGGTCCCAAACAAAAACCTGACATGCTATGCACCAGAGCAACTACTTCTACTTTGCAAATATGTCTGAACACAGTCATGAGACTGTCAAAATCGAATGAGAAGAGGATATGCTGGTGTCAGTGGGATGTGTCTGAGCAGATATGCACACCACAAGTGCTCCCCTCCAGACTTTCCCACTGTCCTCAAATGATAATGGAATGCAGTGCTTTGTTGTAACATTGCTCAGGCCACTCTACATCCCACAGAAACCAAAAGTTTAAGCTGCACACAAACCTGGAGCAGTCCCCAGATCAAGCTGTCCCTGAGCTCTGCTTGTCTGTAAGATGTAGGGTCCATCCCTACCACCCACGGTCCACTAGTACCACCCTTCTGAATGCCACGCTTCCTCCACTTTCAGTGAGACACTGTTCCAATTCTGTGTTTCAGGACCCACATCTGAATTTCAGCACACTGGGCAGACTCAGTCCTTCATGACCTCCATTGCCAAGCTTTATGCTATCATTCCTTATTTCAGGCTGTGGGACCGAGAGGTAAAAAACCTTCAGACCAGGCCCCCTAAGACCTGGGCTTCAGGACAAGGTGAACACACAGTCAGGTAGAACAGAAACAGCACTGTCCAGGGGCAGAAGGAGAAAATGAGGGTGAACATGAGCCCATGATCTGGGGTGCCCTCAACATGAGCTCTGGGGCATGACTGTGTGCTCCAGCCTAAACTGGCCCATGGCCACAGGAGAAGGAGTGGTGGTACCTTGTAGTACCATTCTGTCTTAAACACAGAAGTGGGCTGCCATGAGGAGCAACCTCTATCTCCTCCCGATGAGGGAAATTAAGAGACTGAGCTTACTCAGCATGTCTCAGGACAGGTGTGATGAAAACCTACGCAGCTTCCTGAAAGCCACTTATGGCCATTAAGTATTGATGCACATCCAATTATGTCCACTTTGCTTTAGTCAGGAAGGTCTTGTCCAAATTTCTATGGCACACATGAAAGTGACAGTTTCCGTTTCTATCTCACACCCAAATATTACATATTACTGAAGAAACCTCTCTAATCTTGCTGCAGAGGCAGCCCTTAACAGCAGCAGTCCAAGCAGTAACATTGCCCAGCAGCATGGGGGCTGAGTGGGGTGTTCATGTAAGCCTCTTCTCCCCACATTTTTGTTTTTCTTCTTTAGTGTTTACCCCATTAACAGTCTTTCCCCACAGCCTGAGTCCATTGTGCCTGCTTGAGCCATGGAAATAACCATTGATGGCTATTTCTCTGTGCTGTGGTGCCCAGGACAGCTGAGAAGGTTCCTGAGC